AAGCCAACCAGCCAGGAACCAACAACTTAGTATGACACACAGGAAGATTTGAGCGGAAACTTGACTTTTAAAAACTAAAGCTGCTGCTGTTGTAAAAAGAGGCCAGAAAGCCAGGAAGAGACAGGAAACGTGATTTAATATAATGCATTACAGAATTGACAAAATGTATGAAATAGAATGAAATTACTCCAATAATCAGAAAAGAAAAAGCCATCAAACATTTAATCACTCACGTTAGTTCAGAATAATGTAGTACATACCTGAAAGCGTTAGCCGTGTCTGCTCATAGGGGGAGGCGCGTCCCCCTCCCCCCAACCCGCCCCTGTGCCACAAGATTCCTGCCACGAATTTCGACTCTGAGCGGAAACTGCCTGTTAGCCAGGAGGCCAGGCAGGAGGAAAGAGATTAGTATACAGGCCGACGCCCAGCCCAAAGAGGGTTCGTGGTAGAATTATTTTTTTTGATTAAGTAATTAGTTTTTTATTGATCCCCTTGAATAATTTTTTATTGATGCGATAAATAGTTTTTTTTATACTTCACCCTTTGTTTTGATCATTGGCAGTGAAGTCGTGTAAGGGGTTGCACGGTTGTGGGAAGCAGACTTCCAATTGGATCTTTTGGCATCATAAACATGATTGCCGCCAGCTTGCACCGCAGCACTCAAGCAATAATTCGGTCGAATATGCATTTGTCATTTTCGCTGGCAACAAGTATTTTGAGAGAGAGGGAGAGGATATACATACATAGATATAGATATTATAGATATAGATATAGATATAGATGAAAATATAGATATAGATATAGATAGAGGTATGCCCTACGCCTCGCACTTTGCAAACAGAGGACGTTCTTTATTTTGTTCTGTGCAACCGCAAGACTTTGCAGAATGTACATATTTTGCTTACATAATCTTGACCACGCAGACAATATCAAAACAATTGAATTTTTGGCAAGACTCCACGCCTTGTCGCTTGGTTGATGGATAATGGAAGAAGCAAGTCTCCCTCCACGACCGGGTGGGAAGTTGAAACAAGCAAGGGGCATTGGGAAGCACTGAGTGGGCGTGCTACTTCGTTGTTGCGCACTGCCTCGGGATCAGAAACTGCTTGGCATGCTGAGGTGGCTTACAGTGATGTGCACGTTGCTACCCGACGGTTGGAACTTTTCCGTTTAAACAGGGCCAATCGAATACATTTGGCATCGGGCAGGCGTGAACGCTTGCGCTCCAGGCCATGCTGTTGGATGGTGGGGAGTTCCACTGGAGGTTGGATCAATTGTCCGAAAACGTTGCAACAAAAATTGGACAGTCACGTCGCAGAGGGCAAGTGGAAAGAGCTGGATGCGAATGGGGGCGGTCTGGAGCTAGGGTCTTGCCAGTCGGTAAAAGGTTGGAGAGAGGAGGGTGGCTGGGGAGAACTCAGACTGAACATCGGCAGCTCTGGAGTGCTTGATGGTGTGGAGCTCAGTTTTTTTTAATTTTTGCCAGCGATGCAACGTGTTTCAGGCAAAATTCGCCAAGAACGTTGGCAAACAATCCTCCATTTGCTGTATATGCCTGACACACCTGTGTCGATGTGTCTACTGTATATAGATCATATTGCAAATTTCCAAGTACACTTCCAGTGATTTCTTGCCACTGTCACCTCACATGTTTCTTCTCATCTCACGTTACCTACCCCTCCTCATCCCCTTGCGGCCAATCTCAGCGATTGTGTGCAAATTTTTTGAGCAGCGAAGGGCCACAACAGTAACAAACATGCACTTTTTTTGCACCCCGTGCCCCTGGATGATTTGCAATATCTTCATCCCTCTTGCAAGTGCAGGCTGGGCAGATGAAGGTGGTGGCACCTACCGATTGACCGTTGTCATTGATGCTTTGGACTGGTCAAAAATGTCAGATGAACCCCGTCACAACTCTGGCGCTTCCTTCACTGGGCACCGCATCTTGCGACCAAAGGACAAGAAACTGAGAGACAAAGCTGACAAGGCCGCCGGGGTCCTCGGCCGCTTGGCTGCGATGACAGGAGCGCCTGGTGCTGCGGAACATGTGGCGGTGCAGGGATGGGCTTCAGCTGAAGGGATTTGGCTTCAAGACCAGCTGGGCGGATTCCAGCTGTGGGGTGATATGCAGCCAGTGACTTTGATAAACCAAACAGACTTCTTGTTGTTTTGAGCGTCACCTTCAAAATCTTGAAACAATATATATGCTGTTGCGCCCCCGTAAGTAAAGGTGAGGTCCCCTTAACGGTTGTGCCCACGCAGCTCCGGCTCAACTTCAGCTGGTGCCTATGGTGACGCCGTGGGGTCACAACATTCGCTGCTCTTGTGGCGTTTGTGTGACCCTGCAGCGGCTTCAGGCACGTGAAGGAGCACAGTTTCCTCCCTGGATACGTAGGCCATACCGATCATACCGCGGAGCGCCTGCGTGTGACGGTGGGGGAGATTTCGGACTACGCGGAGGCTAGGACTGGTCCACCTAACCAACCACGTGCAGTTGCGGCGGCGCCCGCAGCGGCAGGCCTCCTGAGCTCAGGGGAAGCTCCAGGGCCGGCAAAACAAGAGGTCAAAGGGGAAGAGAGAGAGCAAGAGAGATCACCCCGACCTGCAGCGGAGGAAGCGCCAAAGGAAGAGAAAGACAAGGCATCAAGCGGCAAAAGGACTTCAGAGAAAACACACAAAGACAAGAAAGAAAAGACCCATCGTGATCGCCGTGGTTCAGGACACCGTCGAGGTGAAGGTGAACGTACCGCCCCGGCCAAGAGAGAGCCAAGTGGTGAGAGTGCATTCAACGCTGAGGAGACCGCTCTTCGCACTACAGCACCGAAGGCAGCGATTGTGGCCAGGCCCAAGTCGGTGGTGAACAGCGACGAGCAAGGAGTTGAGGAGACAGAGAACGAGCTCAGCGGCAAGGAAGAAGACAGGGAAGAAGAGATTGAGGACGAGGTGGACGAAAGGGAGAGTAAGGAGCCCATCTCTCCCCGTTCACCTTCCTACAAGGATCGCAAGAGGTCCAGGAGAACGAGATCGAGATCCCGAAGAAGGAGGAGAAGAGAGGAAGAAAGTGATAGACAGAAGTCGGAGGAGATTGAGTTCCTCATCGGCCCGACCGCATAGCCTGCCACGCCCGTCTCGAAGACCAAGCAGGTCATTGCAGAGGAAGCCAAGAAACCCGGACTATGAAGGGCCGAGGGCGAGGGCGTGGTTGGAAAGGGTGCCCGCCTTACAAGGGAGGATATCGGCCGGACTGGAGCAACAAGGGGGTCAAGAAGGTGGGCAGGCAATTGGAGTTCAAGGAGTACCCGGCCTACAAGAAGCGGTGGTGAAAGGGGCTGAATGGCCCCGAAGAGACGACCAGCAGCAGCTTTTGAAGGTGGTCGTGATAGGCGAAGAGTTAGAGCAAGGCCTGCAGCAGATCTCCCACCGGCTCCTGCAAGAGAGGAACTTGCCACGGGAGCATGGGTGGAGGCGGGAAACGTGACCATAGCAGAGTTGACCCTGGGGAAGAAGCTCAATCTGGAGGCATTGTACTGGGGCAGACCGATCGAGGCCGCGGCAGAGCTGGTGGGGCTAGCCCTCAAAGCTGGACAGGCCGAGGTGACATTCCGTGTCAGTGGCACTCCAGACGAACAGCTCCTAAAGTGGGTCACTGCAGAGGACGATCGCGTGGTTCGAGGTCACCTTTGCCCCGCCGGTTGTACCAACAGTCCACAGAGCGAAGACCTCATCCACGTGAAGAAACTTCGCCTTTTGGAGTTCGACACCCCTGCATGGGCTCACAACTTGAAGGAGGCCGCAGAGTCAGAGGTGTTGAGGAAGTTGGCAGCCGAGTCAGATCGAAGAGCCAGAGAAGCCAAAGGAAAAGGCGTGGGGGGCTCCTGCGGCAAAGATCGCAAAGGGAACCGTATCGACGGACAGTTCCAGGGAAAAGAAAAAGAAGAGGAACAAAAAAAAGGAGAAGAAGAAAAAAACACAAGTCGTGGAAAGTAGAAGGCAAGAAGGAGCTGAAGCAACTCTTCCAGTACACCGGGTTAGATCCCGAGGTCAACATCCGCAGGGCCGTGATGAAGAAGGCCCGAAGAGCTATGGACGAGTCGGACGGCAATTCAGGGAGCAGCAGCGGAGAGACCCGATCAATGAGCCCGGAGGACGAGCTGTTCGAGGACTCCCACCGCATCAGGCGAGCTGCGACGAAAGGGCCAGGTGCACTATCATGCCAGACGATACAGAACACGTCCAAGTATTTGTTGACCTCACAAGGCCTTCCGGTTGCTCCTTGAGAAGGTGCTCTACCGGCTATATGTCTACAGTACCATCGCCAGGTGCTAGCAGGGCGATTGTCTCCTCCGCTGGCAAGGGAGAGCCTGAACATCTGCTCAGCGGCAGATGCCATGCTTCAAGGTCAAGCTGCACTATGCCTGGACATCCTGTTGCAGAGGCTGAAATCAGTGGAGGCCTTGGGAGGAGGAGTGACTTGGGCGGCTGCCCAAAAGCTGGAGTTGACCCCGGCGGAATCCTCACAACTGGTGGATCTCGAAGAAAGTCGCTCAGCCAATCGAGGGTTGAGAGAAGAATTAAAAAACAAACAAGCCTGCCAGAGGATATGGCCAGGAGCCAAGGGCGAGGGGAAGAGCAACAACAAGAGCAAGAACGAAGAACCCAAAGGAAAAGGAAAGAAGGACAAAGGTGGGAAAGACAAGAAAGAACGAGAACGGGAGAAGGACAAGTGAATTCTCCTCTCGAGGGATTCTCGGCTCAAGCCATTGAAGCTGAACTCAATCGTCTTGAGATGGAGGTCAACGATGGGGAAAAGTTCAAAGTCGCTACGATGCCTAACAGTTACCTGGGTGAGATGCAGTATGAGCACCCGGACGCAACCATTTTGGTTGGTACAGAGCATGAAGGACGCGCCGGTCCAGATTGCACGCACCCTACATCACACCGAGCTCGCTGAGCCAGAAAAGTCGGATTTGTGCGGGTTGCAGTTCGCGGACGTTGTCGGGGGGCTGGTGGGGGAGCTGTCGAATTTTCGTCGCAAGACCACGACCCCGGGTGAGGTGTTCCCTCTCCCAATCGACATCGCCCTACGTCAGCCCTTTCTTGCCCATTTGTCTGAAAGCACTCGAAGGGTTCTTCGTGGAATTGTTTTGGGACTGAACGACGTATACGACTGGAGCCCCCGACAGGAAGAGAACGTTTCACCTTTGCATGTACGGATTTTTCTTCTGTTGAGTGAGGAGGTTGGTAGATTCTTGGAGAAGTTGCCTTTGTTTGGGGAGCTTTCATGGAAAGAGTTCATGAAGGTCCGAAGCATTGACTACAAGGGTGAGGAGGTCAAAACTGCCCAGCAAACCTTGTGGGAAAACGTTGCCCCAGCACTCCCAGAAGAGGTAGGAACAGTGGAGTTAGAGCAGATTGTAGGAGCTGGAATGTCTTCATTACGTACGGCACTTCGAGGACTATTTACTCCCAAAAGAGGCACAACGCTACACCAAGCCGCCTAGAGTTATGGTAGCAGAGGACCAGTGGGAGACCTTTTGGGAGGGCGTCCTGTCCCGGGGAATCTGCGGATTGATTCCCGAAAGTCGGATTCACAGGGTAGAGGGCAAACCGTTGCTCAACGGACTATTCGGGGTATTAAAGGAAGAAACTCACCACGGTCGAGAGGTACACCGCCTAATTATGAATCTGGTGCCATTGAACAAACTGTGTCGTCCCATCACAGGCGACGTATCGACGCTCCCAAGCTGGCCGCACATGAACGCCTTCATGATCCAGCCAGAAGATACGCTACTCGTAAGCAGTGAAGATGTGCGCTGTTTCTTTTATTTGTTCAAGGTTCCTGAGGCCTGGAGGCCCTACTTGGCGTTTTCCAGACGCGTCCCTCAGAACCTTTGCAATGGGATTTCAGAACCGTGCTATCTCACTTCACTGGTGTTGCCTATGGGGTTTTGCAATCGCGTGTCTTTAGCCCAGCATATACACCGGTTCGTGGTTGGGAAGGCATTGGATGAGGCCAGGTTGCTAGGATTGAGGGGAGGTTGGGAAGCAGAACTCCGTAAAGATAGACACCTCCCAGCAATCCCGTACACAGGGTCTATTTGGACAATTTTGACCAGCTGGAGCGTGTTAAGAGGGACATGGCAGACACGTTGAGAGGCAGTGTGGCCCCGCTTGTACAGTTGTTGAGGCAGGTGTATGAGGAGCTAGCCATCCCCAGGCACCCCAAAGAGGCCGTTGAGAGGCAACCTCAGGCAGACGTTCAGGGGGCCCTGGTTGACGGGAAGGAGGGGTGTGCTAGGCCACGGGCGGAAAAGATCATGAAGTATGTACAGCTGAGTGTTCTCCTGTTGAGGGGAGAGAAGTGCACACAGAAACAGATACAGGTGGTGGCTGGAGGGCTTGTTTGGGGTGTATGGCCGCAAATCAAGCAGTCCGAGGCGATATTGTCGAGCCAACGGAGGTGACCAGCGTGTTGACCATTGGACTTTTTGATGGTATGGGGGCCCTGAGAGTGGCAGCAGGCTCCATAGGCATGCCGGTGGCCGGACATATCAGCATTGAGAAGCAATGACCTGCTCGACGTGTGGTTGAGAGTCGTTTCGCTTCCACCATCTTTGTGGACGACGTAGCCAAAGTGGACGAGGAGATGGTTCGCGAGTGGGCACGCCAGTTTTCCCAGGTGGGTCTTGTCATCATCGGAGCGGGCCCCCCGTGTCAAGGCGTTTCAGGGTTGAATGCCGACAGGCGAGGTGCATTGAGAGATCACCGCAGTTGTCTCTACATTCATGTGGAAAGGATCCATCACCTTGTCCGGGATCGTTTCCCTTGGGCACAGGTCCATCGCTTGATGGAAAGTGTAGCGTCCATGGACACTCATGACCGTGCTGTGATGAGTGAGTCGGTTGGATCATGTCCTTATCTCATCAATCCTGTAGGTCTTTGTGGATGTTGGCGTCCTCGACTCTTCTGGCCAAGTTGGGAGCTGAGGGAAGAAATAGGAGTGCAAATCTCTTCACCCCGTGGGGGGTGGATGGGAGGCGATGACGGAGGTCAAGATGTCCCACAACTATGACATGTCATCTTTCCTCGAGCCAGGATGGACCAAGTGCTCGGAAGAACCCTTCCCTACCTTCACTACGTCACGATGAAGGACGCAACCAGGGCGCAAGCCAGCAGGTTTGTCACAGTGCACGGAAGAGGAACTACAGGATTGGGCGAGTGACCTGCATCGGTTTCCGCCCTATCAGTACCAGCACAAATTCCGTGTCAAGGACAAGCACCAGAACACTCGCCTCCTCACTTGTGAAGAGAGGGAGGTGTTGATGGGTTTTCCAAAGGGTTACTCTACGGCTTGCTACCCCAAGGGTGAACAGAAGACACAAGCTTGGCAAGATGAACGCTTGACCTTGATTGGAAATAGCTGGAACGTCTTCGTGGTTGCCTGGTTGCTGAATCAGTTGTCAGGAGTCTTGGGGCTTGGGCCTTTCCTGAGCCTCAGCCAAGTTGTGGAGCAGTGCTCTCCTGGCGGGGGAAGAGGGTTACAGTGCTTTCTACTTCGACCTTTCATGCGTGCCCCGCGTCGAGCCCCCGTTCAAGGAGACGAAACAGGGCTGGCGCAGAAGCTGGCTGGTATGGCAAGCCTCAAGGGAGAAGACATTCTCCTGTCAGGTATCACCGCCTTCGGGCGAGTATTCCTGCCAACCTTTGGCGCTGGCGAACCATTTGCGGTTGGCGATGGAATGGACAACAGGAACGTATCAATAGTCTGGAGCTACGAGCTGTGTACACCACCTTGCGCTGGCGCACAGGAAAGAAAGGATGGCTACAAAGCAGGTTTGTGCATCTCGTTGATTCTCTGGTGTGCTTGCGTTGCCTAGCTCGAGGCTGCTCAAGTAGCCGAAAGTTACGACGGACCTTGATGAAAATAAACGCTCTTCTTCTCGCCTCTGGAAATCAAGCCCATTGGGCATATGTGCATACTTCCCAGAACCCGGCTGATGCCCCCAGCCGGCGCCCCGTTCGGAAGCGATGGGTAAAGTAGGAAAGGTCATGATTGAAGGAGGTAGTAGAGAAGAGCGTAAAAGGCAGCGAGCAGCATTAGGAAGCCTGCAGTCTCTCACGGTTCAACCTCGGACGCGTGAACGTTACAACCAAGCCCTGGAAGGCTTCTGGGCCTTTCTCCGTGAAGAACAGCGTGAGGGCCCCACAGCACACTCTGGTTAGTTTAGACGTCCTCTTACAACAATACATTGAGCATTTATGGAGCGAAGGCCATGGACGCGCACTAGCTAGCGACACCGTTGCAGCTTTGCAGGACGCTCAGCCACAGGTCAAAGGTCACCTGCCAGGCACATGGAGGCTGTTAAAGGCATGGAGCATGAACGAGATCCCGAACCGGGCTCCGCCCCTCCAGAATTTAAGAGGCTCTTCACATGCTGGTTGGACATGCACTTGCTCACAAAGAATACCTGTTCGCCGTTTCCCTCCTCGTAGGGTTCTACGGGACTCTCCGTACGGGAGAGATTCTGAGTTTGAAGTCTTCTGATGTGAGTATTCATACAGCACAAGGCCCAGCCGTCATTAGTTTAGGCCTCACCAAAGGTGGAAAGAGGCAAGGAGCGTCAGAGAGTGTGTCGCTTACAGTTGAAGAGCCCCTACGTTGGCTTTTTGCCTGGACCCGTGACTCGTCCGCTCGTCGAGAACTCTGCCCTTCGCCTAGTCAATGGCGAAAAATGTTTAACACCACTACCGAAGCACTGGGGTTTGCCGACTTAGGTTTTAGACCCTACTCCCTTCGAAGAGGGGGGCTACCTGGTGTTTTCAGCGTTGGGGTTCTCTGGACAGACTCCTAGTCTATGGCAGGTGGCAGGCCATCAAGACGGCCCGTACATACGTGAACAGTGGTTTAGCAGCTTTGGCGGAAATGCGTTTACCTCGGTCCAATTTCAACAAATGTTATCCCGTCGCTTGAGCCTGCCCTTAAAAAGGGCAGGGCAGGGGACAGTGGAAAGAGGGCCAAAAAGAAGGCCAAAGACCATAGAACAAAGAGACAAAAGAGAATT